ACTGATAAAATCTCAGCACTAGAGTATGCCGGGCTTAAGGATCACCCAGTGCACTTGCTTCATTTTAGGGGTGAGGGAGCATGGTTCCATGCAGTTACCACATGCCCCAGGTCACAGATGGAGCAGCAGATCCCTAGCTAGAAGATCTGACTGCCCTCTCCCCCTGCCACCCTATCTGGTGACACACACCACACCCTGCACACAGATGATCTATACTCCTCCCCACCGCCACGCTCTGCTCTGGTGACAGCATCCTTCCACTTCACGCCAGCAGGCCCTCGACTTCTCATGAGCCAGTTCTCCAGGGTGGGCTCTGAGACCTACCGGTTCCCTCTAAAACACTCCCCACAGCCACACCTTTCCCCTGCCCTTGGTCTGCACTTAGAGGCAGCATTTTCGTTCAGCATGGCACTCATTGTCCTTGAATTCCTCTCGACTAGAGAGAGCCTTGTCGGCTAAACCGATGGCCTCTTAAGAGCTGAGACTGGCTGCCTACCCTGTCGCCTCTACAGCACTTAGGGACCCACAGGAAACAGTTAAGACAAGTGAGTGACTGAGAATAAGGAAGCAACAGGACCGAGCAAAGGGTTGAGAGACGTTCACTCCGAGTAAGCACTAACATGAGTCAGTTATTGTCTTGTTCCCAGCCAAGCACTGGACAAATCAAATTAACCACCAACATGACAAAACATACTCACTGTCATGAAACACTGCCCGAACGGTGTTGTCAGCGGCGCTTACGGATACCTCCCTGGAAAGATGGCTAATCTCGCTGCCAATCTCCACCTAAAAGAAAAACATCTGTTAGAAATAAAAAGGGCTAGCCCACAGGCTTTCCTCCTCCTGAGAGGAGAGAAGGAATGCACCTGCAACGCTTGCCTGCTACTTGCATTTCCCAGGAGCGCTGGTGCAAAATGGTGCAAAGAGCAGCAACACCTGACAACTGTTAGCCCAACTGAAAGGTTTCTGGAGAACTTACAAACAGGCCATTCCACAGGCCCCATGGGTTGGGGGAAGACCTTTCTACCGCAGCCTTGAACGTTGTCACGTTCATCACCTATGCGTACCCAGCACTACACGCCAGTTGGGAATCAAGTGATAAGAGGCCATACCCCAACGATTTCAAGCATGAACACGCCAAAGTGCCCGCCGATCAACTTGACTTTTGTTGGTGATGGCTTGGAGCATTTTCAGAGGCGAGTAAGAGCCCCAAAAGGCTCACAGGAGGGCAACTGTCCCGATTGGGTGTTCCTGGATGACAGCTCACTTCAGACCCCACTGGGGAGAACACACAGGGGGCTCCCAAGGACACAACAACCAAGAGCCCTGCGATCTGAAGGCAACACCACTTTGGACAATTCCAGCTGTCTCACTGGAAGGCGTACACAGCTGGCTAAATTCATATCCATCCCCCTGGTCCAATCTCCCGTTCTCGTTCTCTTCCCTTTCACCAGTCAAATGGGGGGGGGGGGGGGGCCGACACACACAAAACACTACATCCTTTCAGGGTTCATTTTTGAGGGAGAAGTATTTACAAGCATTGAAGCGTGAATCTAGTAAATAGCAGGGGGAAAAACTGTTGCCACCAAATTGCATTTTTCAGATGCTAGTTATGAGGTCCAGGTGGGAGAGACTGCCTGACATTGCCTACTCTGCCCTAATCCTAAAAGCAATTTCTTTTCAGATCCTGCCCTCTTCTGAACCTCCAAGCAGCCCCAGTAAATCCCTTCCTTGTATCAACAAGGACTACTTCCTTAAGCGTGTCTTTGGCAATCAAAGACCAAAAATAAATACACCAACTCTTTACAACCCTGATCTTAAACCCAGGAAGCCTGCTATATCTATTTATGCATTGTTCTCGGAAGGAGGGGGGGCACGCTTCACCTCACTCACCCACCCCAGGAGTTGATTCAGCATATATATTCAAATCCAGTTAAAAGAACACACTATCAACCTCTATGGCATATTTTCTTAAGGGCAGGTTGTGATATATGTAAAAGCTCAAGGGAATGCATACATCTGTTCCGTGAGTGTTTTAAGAAATGCAAATCTGTATCCAAGAAAAGCAGTAGTCCCTCTCCCCACCCCCTCCCCGTTCACTGGCATCAGCCACCAGAGTTCTGCATCAGTATCACCCTTTAAGCAAGCTCTCCGTGAATGTGGGGAAGGGGCAATGGCCTTGGGAGGCATTCTAGCTAAACTTCCGATACTTGACAAATAAAACCCCTATTTAATTGATGCGATTTCTATGACCCCTTAGCCTCATCACCTCACGCTGCTGGTTAGTTTACATACCAGAACTGAACCTACCCCCAGTGACGGGTGGCCCAGAACCTTGGAACCGGGTTGTCTGTGTTGGTCAAGGGAATGCCATTAAAAAAAAAAAAAGGGGGGGGGGTCCGCCGGCTCCCTAACCTGGTTGAAATTCTCTGGTTCCTGTACTTTGGGCGACATTACGGTTTGTGGGTGCCCTGCAATTCTTTGTTCTCGGGGACGCCAGCTCCTCAGGCCCCGGCACATCCTCCCCGCCTGCCACCACCGATGATTAAAACCTTAGTGCAATCCCAGAGGCTTCCTTCCTTCCCACCTTCGGGGCAAGTCCAGGGACCGCAAGCCGCCAGACGGCTGCATTCTTGACGCGTAAGCCCGTTCCGTGCCTTCCTCCCGGGG